GCAAGCATAAATAATAGTTGTTTTAGGACATATAAATAATATATAAATAAAAATATTCATATTATTTTTCAAAAAGTGCTCTTTCACAAGTTGAGTAAAGGTAGTATTGTGGCTGAGCAAATACTGTCTGGAAATTTGAGTCCTCAGTGCTCAGAGAGGCAGTGAAGGTGCTGACAGCTTTCGGATTACTCTGATGTCTTCCCTTTCTGGAAGGACTAGGGCAGTGTAAGAGAAGATGGGGCTGGGGGAGAATCATAGAATCATTTAGGTTGGAAAAGACCCTTAAGATATGATACAGGTTGGCTGTATGGAGGAAAAAACCCACTTTTGGTGTAGTCTGTTACTTGAGGGTATAGATGTGACTGGGGCTTCGATTTTGTCGTTTTAAGTATTGTTTGTACATTCAGGTTCAGAGTGGGATTTAGCCTCCCTGTCCTTCATTAGCACTTCTCTTCCCACCTTGTAAAACAGGTATCCTTGTGAACTTCCTTCAGTAATATCAGAGTGGTATTCTCCCCAAATTTTATAACATCATACAAGTGTAGGAATCACAAACCATGATGCAGAATGTCACAGGACAGAGCCCACCCAGAAAGCTTTTTGTCACAAAGCGTCTTTCAAGACTTCCTAGATAATTCAGAATGTACTTTTGTGCAATGCTGGTAGTACCTGAGGAAACCTCTCTGACTATTAGAATCAAAGTGAGCCATGTAGAATTCAGTATTCGGCTATGTTGATTTCTCATGCATTACAGGATCAGCCTGTGCAAGCAGTGGAATTTCTGCGTTGCACTGTATCCCTGTCTCAATTAGGTTGAGATTTTAGAAATCTGAGGGCTCAGAACGTTGAAACGCTGTAGGAGGCAGCAACATTCCTGTAGACTGAGATGTTACAGCAAGTAGATAGTGACAAAATAGTTGGCAATTTCTGGTTTCTTACAAAAAGGCCATATAATATTTTTCTAAAAAGACAACATTGTTTCAGGGAATTACTAATCTTATCTTGATTAATCAATGAATTTGCATTAATAATTGATCTGCTATATTTCTGCTGGCCTTTCTGAAAGCTTGTGTAAAGCATACCAGCACAACTAAAAGAGGAGGACTGAAGGGCATTTCTAAGACCGAACAGAATCATAGTGAGTAGCTGTTGGAAACTTTAGACCTGGCCTGGAGAGACATTTCCTCTCACGGTGCTATGGGAGAATAACTGCAGTGGCAGCCCTGCTAGAGATAATTTTTAGCATAAACATTAAGGATCAGGTTCTGCATTGTCCATAACCCTTCCAAATTAGTCTTTTTCAGAAGAGTACTAGTAGTGTGCATATTATTCATTTGTGAATAATATATACTGATTTTTTTTTGTTAAGTGTAAATTACTTACAAAATAGTCCCTGCAAATCCTTGAAGATTAATCAAAATTCTTTCTTGCTCCTTGTCCTCACAGATTGAAGATCTGAAGAAGATAAACTATGAGCTAAGGCAACATGTCATGCAACTCCTTGATACGAAGCAAGTGGTGGGAAGTCAAGTGGATAGGTTCACCTGTAAAAATGATCACCTGTGTAAAGAACTGGCTGTAATTGGCAAACTATCTGAGCAGCTGGAAAAAGAACTGCTATTGAATACTGCTGATAAGGAGCTTAAGGAAGCAAAGGTGACTACCTGTTAGAGTTAATATTGTGCAATGATGTTTTAATGTTGGTTGCTAATACTACAGGGAACTGTTCTGTTTTGTTTACCTTTTGGGCTGAATTTCTAGCTTTCATCTCTGTGTTGAAATATATTTGCTGGAATGAAGGAAGAGTGGGTGGATTCTGGCCTTTTTTGGTATTTTTTGAATTCAAGGATTAAAAATCATGCAGTTGGAAAGAATGTAATTTCAGTGAAAAATGGTTTTGATTTCACAGGGAAATGGAAAATGGCACTCTATGCACATGGAATTATGTGATGTAGTTGTGATCAGATGGGATAAAGCATATTCTTTGTTTGCCATTAGTGTAACTACATCCTTATTTCTTTAGCCCATAACCTGTCCCTGTTTTCAAAAGTTTCTCTATAAGACAGTTCTGGGAATAAGTATTCAATGCTTCCTTTTTCATTCACTCACCTGAGAGTAACTCAACTGTTACTGTTTTTCCTCATCCTGGACTGCATCTGAAGATGCAACTTTTAACTGATTGACTTCTAGATTGAGTTTATTTTTACTAAATAGTATGTTCTCAGCCTAGTCAAACTAGAAAACACGTACAAATGATTATACAAAATTAATGCATCTCTTGCTCTCTATTTTTTTTAATGGTAGATTCAAATTCAAAACCAGCAGAAGACGATAAAGAAGCTGGAATACTCAGTGAAAACACTACAATCTGTGAGTTAAGCATGTATCTGTATATGTAACTATGAAATCAGATCACTTCCACATGAAACTAATACTTGCACGAGTGAATTTCACTTAGTTTATTTTCACTGATAACTTACATGTTATAGAATGGATAAATACACATGTTTTCATTTGTAATTCACTGTCTCTAGATGGGTAGGAATCTTTCTAGTTTGTAACTAGCTGGTAACAATTCTGCTTTTGAGAATCTTAATTTTTTTCACAAAATTGCACACAACTGTTTTGAATACCTTGTAAATCACTTGCAAAACAGAAGTAATTTTTTTAATTTTTTCATCTTAATATCCTGTCTTCCTTAAGGTGTAACAATACTGTTGGAATATTTTGAGATGTATACAATGTCATAATCATAGAAATATTTGCCAGTGGTAAATATAACTTAAATTAACATTTGGATTTATTAAGTGGACTCATTCACTTGCTTCCAGTATAAATTGATGGGGATTTTTTTTTTTGTGTTCAAGGTAGTAATTTCTTAAAGTAATTTAATGTGGAATATGCCACAATCCTGCAAAGAATCCCCTATGGAAAAAAACCCACTCTGGTGCTGCAGAGCTTATTGCTCAATTACCCTGGGAAGATCTCAGCCCTTCAGCCAGAAAATTTGGGATTTGACAGCTAGACTGAGAAATTTAGGTAATTAATTACTAACTTCAGGGCTTTAAAGACATACTTCTGCATGTGCCTTAACAAGAATAATACATTTGCAGAATTTAGTATTTCACAGGTGCTTAAACTTCCATGGGTCAGGTACTTCCAAGAGATAGATTGTAACAGAGAGGGATAGGGTGTGCAATCTTGAACTTGGGAATTGCAATTCATCCTCAAAATTTGTTTTGGGCCCCTACATGACTTCCTGGATTTCAGCTATACTTATTTGCACATTCTTTTATTTCCATTTCAGAAATTCACCTTTCATGGATCTTAAGCAAACATAATGGTCTAATGTCTGTCATATTTAAAAAATCATTAGATATTCCAATGCAAATCTTAATTGCCCTCCTTTGTTTTGAACAGATACATTCCAAGTTAATTAATATTTAGCTTTTATGTCTTTTTCTGTCCTGTTAGATCCATTCTAAAAGTACATTCAGGTAAACTGTTCAGTATAATAAAAAAGAGAAAATACAGACATTCGGAAGTTACTTTAAAGTATTAAATAGATATTTATTTTAATTAGATATCTGCTTCATCTTTATTTTGAAGAGTATGTTTATCCATTTTACACTGAAGTATCATCCATTACAAAAGTTCTATTTCAGTGAATGAATTCTCTCATTTTTGCACTTGCAGGTTATTTTACAAACAGAAGCTGGAATGAAGCAAGGGAGGTCACCTTCAAAGCTCGATGCCTTTATTAAGACGTTGGAAGAGGACAGAGACTACTATAAAAATGAGACTGAGAATTTGCTGAAGATATTTAGAAACACATTTGCAAGTCCTAAGCAAACCAATACTTGTGGCAGCATGCTAAAAAAAATTTCATCCATCCGGGTGAGCTTGGGAAAACACTTAGGAAGGGGAGGAATGCATTTGTAGAATGTTGGTTTACCTTTTGCTAAACTACTAAAGCTATAATTAGCAGGAAGAAAAACTGATTGATTATAAAGGAAAGGATACATAAGATGGGAATGGGCCAATAATGTGAACTTCCATGTATGTGTATCACTTTAAATGGTTCCTGACAGGTGCTTATGATGTAAGTAATAGTTAACATGATTGTCTGTACCATTTGTGATAGATATTTGCTGCTCAAACTAAATGTGTATTTTAGAAAATGGTATGTATCTCGGGTCTTTAATACTGAGAAATATATATGTACAGTCTTGACTATCTAGAAGTTACAAGGTTGGAATCTTCTTAAATCTGTCACAGAAATTTCCAAACTAGATATAAGAAGAAATCACACCAAGTTTTGTTTCTCTACTTTAACCTTATATCATCTTATTCTTTAAGGGAGTGACCTTTGCTCCAGACATTTTGAAAATATTGAGAGAACGTGAAGACCTTAAGTCAACACAGAAGAAATACGAGCGCCATGTAGCAGAAATTCAGGGTAACCTCAACGTTTTAACAGCCGAGAGAGACAAAATGGTCAATCTTTATGAACGGGTAATTTAATTTATATTTGTATGATTAATTAAAATGACCTAAGGTCATGTGCAAGAAGAAAATACTTCTTTTTTCTTTCTTTATCACATAAAATAAAGAGCAAAGCATTTGTTTAAAAAAAAATGAGAAAAAGGTATGGAAATTCTGTGATTTGTATTTGTCAGTTAAATGCAAGTTTGTAAGTGCTGTCCTGAGTTAATAATGCTTTTCTGAATGAAAGAATATATGCACAAATCATTAGTTTGACATTGCACAGTTTCTGGGATGCTCTGCGTTACCAGCCATATGCCACAGTAATATATTACATTATCTAGTCTTTATTTCTGTTATACCGCTGTTTTTAAAAACAGGCACAGCAAGAGATTTCCCGGCTTCGTCAGGAAGTTATCAAGTGTCCAGGGAGTCCTAAAGCTATGGCAACAGCTCAAGCTATGTTAAGACAAGTGGAGATGGAAAGGGATACAGTACTGTCAGATTTTCGAAGGATGACTACAGAACGTGATAGCCTCAGGGAGCAGTTAAAGGTTTGATTCTGGCCTCCCCACTCCTGGTTATTTTAACATGAAAACTACTCAGTAGTGTAATTAAAGTTGCTAAAGACTTCTAATCCTGAGAGTTAATTGTGTTACATGTCTGTGGTAAGTTCAGACTTGTTCTCTCTTTTTGTTGTTATTTGGTACAGATTTCCCAAGAGACTGTGTTTAATGAAAAGGCTCGTTTGGAACAGCGGATTGAAGAGCTAGAAGCTACCATTCAAAACGTAAGGGAAAATAATTATTTATGGAACTGTAAATGTAATACAGATGATAATCATGGTTAATTCTGCAGGACCAGCCTGACTGTTTTCTGTCAGGAAACTATAGGCTGAGAGCAGTTCTTAATCAAGACTGTAGCAAGGCTTTTGACACTGTTACCCATAGTGTTCTTGTATCCAGGTTAGGATATTAAGTTCTGGATGGGTGGGGAAAAAACTTGATTGGATGGTCAGTTTTATCAGGTAGAAATTAATTTGGCCTGGAGACTGTTAACATGGAGTACCACAGGGATTCTGAGGCCTGTCCTGTTAAACATCTTTATCAGTGACCTGAAGGAGGCAACAGAATGCATGCTCGTAAGGTTTGCAGATGACACCAAGTTAGGGAAAACTGTTGATATACCACAGAGCAGGGCAGTCATCCACAAGGACCAGGACAGGCAGGAAGAATGGACAACAGGAACCTTTGCAATGATGAATGCCAAGTTCTGAATTTGGGAAGAAGAGCCACTGGCACCAATACAGGTTGGGGACCAATCGTTTGGGAGCAGCTCTGCTGAAAAGCAAGCTGTATATCAGCCAGCAGTATGCCGTGGTGGCAAAGGTGGCCAAGACTATACTAGGCTGTGTGAACATGATGCAGCTAGTAACTCGAGGGAAGTGATTATCCCCTTTTACTGAGCACTCATGAGACCACATCTGGAATATACCACTTCCGGTTTTGCCACCACAGTGCAAGCAACACAGTGCCAAAATGGAGTGAGTTTAATGAAGGGTTCCCACAATAGTTGGGGCTGGAACATACTTTCCATATGAGAGGAGTTCCCAGGAGCAGAGGTGGCTTAAGGACCTGAGTCCTACCTGCCAGTAATAATCACGAAGTCGGAAGTGGGCTTTTCACACCAGTGCACGGGGGAAGGATGAGAGCAACAATGGTCATCAGTTGAAACAACAAGGGCTCAAGCTGGATAAGGAAATACCTTTTTCTCATGAGGACCATCAGGCAGTTCCAAACCTTGAAGATGTTCAAGACTGGACTGGACAAAGCCCTGAGTCAGCCTGACCTCAGAGCTGGCCCTGCTTTGAGCAGGAATTCAGACTAGAGACCTCGTGGAGTGCATTCCAGTGTGTATTATCTATGATTGCATACTATTAAGACCTGATGCTCCAAAAACGAATATAATTGTATTGTTCTGACAAGTCCTATTTAATATGGCTTAAATTACTTGTGTGTGCAATTGTTTGCTAATATAAGGTGCCAAAACATGAAATTAAAACATTAATAAAATTAATATAAATCTTAAATACATTTACAGTTTTGGTAGAACTTGTTTTTTAAACAGATTAATGTTGATTTCTGTTGTATATCGTTCTTCTAGATCTTGTGGGTTTAAGTTCTGGTTAATTTTCCTCTTCAGCCTTTCTATTAAGTATAGTTCCAAGGATTGTAATATTAAACTGAGTACATCTGTGATGAAGAATGCACTGTAGGTTTAAATAGCTCTGGGTACTCCAAGAAGTAAATTAGCTTCAATCACACGTTTGATATATGATATATAGTGAATATTGAATCACCCTTGGAAGGTGATACATCAATATGAATTTTATGGCACTAGTATTGAAAAAGTTACTGTGTACCAGAGGCTTACTCACTTGCTCTTTAGAGGTCTGACTTCTGAATACAGTAACATAGAAATTAGTACTGAAAGAATCAGTAAATAAGGAGAGGGATGAGGTGAGAATTTTTTACCTTTAAAGAGCTGTTTCAAAGAATTTCGAAAGGACAGTTTTTTGAGTGGTGTTAAGTATGAGCATTTTAATAAACACATCTTTCTTTAAAGTGGAGATTTCAAAGCAGCTTTTCTGGAGTCTGTGTGAGAAGTTTTGAACCTGTTCTTTGTTCTAGGTATAGACCTAAAGGCCTCATGGTGGTAACTTGGTAATACAGTGCTTTATGCTAGTGTTTTACAGTGATTTCTCTATCCATATCTCTATCTATAACTTAGTAGAGGCCTAAAGTCATCCCAAACTGGTATTTCTCCCTTCATACACTCATAATAATGATTTCTGTAAGTTATTTTGCACTGAAAATTTTCAGTATTGATCAATACCAAGTATTTTTGCCCTTGGGCATAATTACCAACCTGAAATTTACATTAATAAATGAAAAATTTCCCAGAGATCTGAACGACAGGAAATTGATTGTCCTTCAAAGGAAGTGAAAATCATATTTTATCTCTTTGCCAACTACCTTCTGTAGACTTGTAGTCAGGCTCTGAGTAAATGAGGTACTTGGACATCTGCTCTTCAGTGAAAGATTTGTGCTAAAACCAGAGTAGAATTTGAATTAATAGGAGAATTTCTGTAAAAATCAGCTTTTTTTATCTTTTAACATTTAATTATATTTATAGTTAGAAAGTGAACGGTTAGAACAGGTGTCCAAAGTGACGCTAATGAAAGACACCATTGATTCTCTGGAAACTGAGATTAAAAGATTGGCAAGAAAAGTACTGAACTCTGAAACTGAGCTGAGCCGACGGGAAGCTGAATATGTTTCACTTAAGTAAGTCAATGTATATAATTGCATTAGTTTGTTGAGTAACGTCAGCCTATGTTCATTTGTTTTTGTAACTGTTGTATAGCTCAAAGGCAAAGGAATTTATGATAGTTGTTCTTATGAGCCATCCTTCTTTTTGGAATGAAATTGGTTTCCTCATTGCTTATTTATATGCAAATGTTCTCGGCTTGTTGATATTATGATATGCTGAAAACCATCTTCAGAGAAAAGTAGAATTCACTCTAAGAGTTAGGAGCTTCCTATTAGAAGCTGCAGAGATTGGTGTTTTTTGGTAAATTGAGTATGTCTTTTTTTTCTCTAATTTTTTATTATTTTTATAAAGACAAACAAGCACACATAAAATAATGAGTATCACATGTAGTTAGTTTCAAACATCCATTTCTTAGTCTTGGAGCTTTTTCATGAGAGGAAATAAAATTGAAGCCTTGCATAAAGTTTATAGCCTGCTGCTCAACTAGAGTTCCTAACCGTGTTCAGAAGCATGTAGCTGGGACTGGACTCAATTGAAGCTGTTAGGGATAAAAGCACAAGTCAGTGAGTGCAAGATAAAAAAGGATAATTTACTGACTGGAAGGAAAGATCAATCACATGTGGAGTTTGTGCAGAGAGATGTGAGGGACTAGATCACAGACTGAACTAGGCCACAGAGTGAACAGACTGCAAGAGAAGATACTGTGACTTTTTCCTCTTGCATTTCCTTAAATATAATTTAGTTAGGCAAATACTCTCTTAAACCTATGTGTCCTTACAGGTGACTGGTGTAGTCAACACATGGGTGTTGTAGGATTTTTTTTTTTTGGTTGGATTTTGATTGGTGGCAATGTTGGGTGCTAGAATCATTAATATTCCTACATGATTTAAACAGATAGCTTGGGTATAACTTGAAATAGTTCAGGCATTCCAATGTATGTCCCAAGTGAGGATTTTTATTTTCATAATTTTTGGGAATTTTTTACATCCATTTGTTGTAAATAATTCTTCGTACTTTTCTGTGATTCTTTACAGGAGTATTCAGACTGTAATATGCAGAAGTTAAGGTTAACATTAATAAAATACCCCAAATAGTCTAAAAAATACAGAAGAATCTTGCTTTTTCTTAACTTTTACAATTTTGGTGACATTCCAAAATGGAAAAAAAATATTAATATGTAAATGTCTGAATTCTCCTGTTTAATGCTTCTGCTTTTCCAGTTTATTAAATGAAAAGACAGAACAGAGTCTTTCAGAGGCTCAGCAAAGCCTTGTTAAGAAAAAATGTGAACTACAAGTTGCTCAAGAGAAAATTACACTTCTGGATGAAAAAATTGGTGAGTGACAGATACAGTTTTTGTAATAACATTCAATATGCTAGTTGTTAAATTGCTGCTCTTTTTTTTTTTTAATGGGTTGAAAGAAAAAGTGTTGAATGCAAATAAATACACTTTTGCCAGTTTTAACTTTTCAAGTGCAAAACATTAGTTATATTATTGGATTTTGTATTTTAAAACTATGTCATCAAGCTCTTGCAAGTAAGTTTCAGTGACAATACATTTTGTCAGCCGAACAATGCATGTTGGTATATTGGCATATTTTGATTTATGATCCGCTAAGGAGGTGGTAGCACCTCTCAGCACTATAAGATAATGATGATGGAATCAAGAGAACATCCTTTTTAGTATATAACAATCTGATATTGTATGTTGCACTTTTTTTATATTATGGGAGTAATGGAGGTGGATACATGAATTATTATTCCTGTAGTGCCAAGGAGTATGTTCTTACTTCCAAAATAACAACAGAATTGTGTTAGAAATCTTTGTTATTTTTTATAGATACAGTTGACATAATATTTTCTCAAATGCAGTTCTGAATTTGTGAAGGGAAAGCAAAGCTAAACTGTAGCTAATTATAGCTAATGTTAGAGCTGACTGATGCTATTAAATATCTTGTTTTCTGTTAATTACAAATTTCAGACTCAGGTTATTTGATTTAAATATTTTGTTTGGGATGAATATTCCATTCAAAATGAACTTATTTGGTTCTTTTTTAGTGTTTTGGTTAAGGTGTTTAATCCACTCCTGAGAAGGCTAGAGGCAAAGATGTTTTGTCCACATTAAAATCCACATATTTTGTTTTAAAAGTCCTATGTTCCTATCCCTATAGTGGTACAGTAATGTAGGGACTTAGTGTTTGGTAGGCATGTCAGTTGTCCCAAGTTAGGATTTTTATGTGTCGTTGAATGCTTTGGATCATTCCCAGAAAATGCATCTGAATTTGGGTGTATTTTAAGCTTAAAAAAAAAATTGAAATATCAGTTCATTAAAGCCGAATAGAGATGGAGACTTCTTAGAATTTGTCACCTGTGGTCTCAGATAATGTGACTGAAGCATGTTCTAATCTAGATCCATTAGCATTTTTCATTACTGTGAGGCAAGTCCAGGCAAAGAATCTTGAAATTAATGGAGACTGTATTGTGCTATTATCCTGTGGCCACAGGGATAACAGTGGAAGATGCTGAAGGAGTGGAACTACAGTGTAGGTGTGGGGAGCGAATGTACTGAGAGAAGAAAGTCAAGAGGTTTTAACTGCAGTATCAATAAGGAGAGGATACGGAGATTACAATCTGGATGAGGCAGCATAATCCTAATGAAATAGGTAGGTGAAGTAAAGTTAATAAAGAGCCAGGAGACAAGTGAAGAATAGGGATATTGGCTTGTCCTGGGCAGAACCCAGGACATGGCTGGGCAGGAATTTGCAACGAGGAGGGTTGGTTGTCGGAAGAGACTATAAGTATGAAACAGTGAGGTTGGAAGTTAGTGAATGGAATAAAGAGTTTAGACATGGCACCAGGGAAAGCCAGGGCAATGCGGTAAAACAGAGACTGAAAATTAATGAAGTGAGGGGAAGGAGTGAAGAAGGATCAGAGACATCCAGTGAGGATAGCTAGTGTGAAGTGGGTAGAGAGAGTGGAAAGATCCTCATGGTTGGATGACTAATTCAGAGATTTTTGGGTAGGACTTGCAGCTATTGGACACAAACCGTGACTAGAACTTGTGAGCAGAATACACACAGAACATTTAGGGCTTGAACAATAATGCTGAAAGCAGGAGAAAGATTGGAAGTAAAAGGAGACTGAGATGGAAAATATGGTTTTAGGAGCCTTGTGTTAGTAGGGAAGGAGTTTAGGATGGGAAACCTTAAGACTTAGGGCTGTCCAAAATGAAGATAAAGCATGAGCAGCTAATAGTGTCTTCTTGGAGAGGTAGAATTGGAGAAGATGGAAAGAAATCGTGTGTGCCCACTGGAGAACATTCTCCCATTTTGGAGTCTGGAATGGAACTATGGATTTCCAAGTCTTGTGTTACCTTCTTCTGTCAGCAAAATAATGTACACAGCAGTATAGTCCCCACGTGGTTATCTTCTGTCATGTGACAATAATAGGAATCCAAATTACGCTTTTCGTTTTTCACACAAGTAACTAACTTCAGAGACAAACACTAAGAAGTTCAGAACGAGTCTTAAGTTTGTCTGTACTACTTAATAAATAAATCCAAAGTTGGGTGGTTGGTTGGTTGTTTTTACCTTATAGTACTGTTTTTAATTACACTATCGTGTGGTGTTTTTCTATAGGAGCCTTTGCACCAACTTTTGCAGAATTTTGTAGGGAGTAAATCAGTGTTGTCTAGTGAAGCAAGCTTGTCTGTCAGATCTTCTCCTTAGCTGAGAATACAGTGAATAAAGCAGGTAATTGCAGAAAGAGAAAGCACATGCTATTTAAACTGTTAAACACTACTATGCAGTATTTTATGATATTGCTGTCTATACATTAGAATTTTGGGGCGATGCACAGCCAGCTTTTCAGAATTGCTCACTAACTATACGTATGACCTATTTTCAGAGTGCCTGATTTGATACTTAGGTTATTAATTTTCAGGAATGTTGAGCCCTCACAGCTGTGGCAGCAGTCCATAGTTGTGGCTTTTTGAAATGTAGTATTTTCCATCCTGAAAATGTTGGTCACAGTTTGAGCATCCAGAATAATCAGAGAACACTTTCAATTGATCTTTGTGCCTCTATTGCTTCTCTGTAAAATGGTGGTAACACACCCTTGCTTAGAATGGTCGAGGTTGGGAAGGCACTTCTGAAGGTCATCGTGTCCAACGTCCCTTCTCAAGCAGGGACACCTACAGCCAGTTGCCCATCTCCAGGTGACTTTTGAATATCTCCGAGGAAGGAGACTTCGTAACCTCCCTGGGCAACCTGTTCCAGTGCTTGGTCATCCTCACAGGAAAAAATAAAGTGTTTCCTAATATTCAGAGGGAACCTCCTGTGTTTCAGTTTGTGCCCATTGCTTCTTTCACTGTCACTGAGCTTAAAAGAGCCTAGCTCTGTGCTGTTTGCACCCTCCCTTCAGATATTTATGTACATTTATAAGACCTCACCCTGCAGCCTTCTCCAGGCTAACCAGTTCAAACTCTCTCAGCTTTTCCTCATAAGAGAGATGCTCCAGTCCCTCATTCATGTTTGTGGTCCTTTGCTGGGCTCTCTCCAGTATGTCCATGTTTCTCCTGTACTGGGGAGACCAGAACTGGAACCATTACTCCGGATGTTTCTTATCATTGCTGAGTAGAGAGGAAGGATCACCTGCCTTGACCAACTGGTAATACTTTCCCTAATGCAGCCCAGGATACTATTCACCTTCTTTGCACCAAGGGCACATTGGTGGCTCATGTTCAACTTGGTGTCCACCAGGACCCCCAGCTTTCCTCCCAAGCTGCTGTCCACCTGGGTGGCCCCCAGTGTCTACTGGTGCCTGGGGTTGTTCCTCCCCAGGCACAGGACTTTGCACTTCCCTTTTTGAACTTTGAGGTTCCCATCAGCCCATTTCTCCAGCCTGTCACGGTCCCTCTGGATGGCAGTATGACCCTCCGGTGTATCAGCCACTCCTCACAGTTTTGTGTCATCAGCAAAATTCCTGATGGTACACTCTGTCCCATCATCAAGATCATCAATGAAGATGTAAACCAGGACTTTACCCAGCATTAACCCCTGGGGCATACCACTAGTGACCACCTGCCAACTAGACTTTGTGCCACTGATAACCACCCTCTGGGCCTGGCTGTTCAGATAGTTTTCAATCCGCCTCACTGTCTCCTCATCCAGCCCATATGTCAACAGCTCATCTCTGAGTATATAATGGGAGTTTCAGAGGTCCTACTGAACTCAAGGTAGACAATAACCACTGCCCTCCCTTCGTCTACCAGGCCAGTCATTTCATCACAGAAGTTTGTCAGCTGGTCCCTTCCCCTGGGTGATGCCATGCTGACTACTACTGATGATTTTCTTGTCCTTAATGTGCCTGGAAGTGGTTTCCAGGATTAGCTGCTCCAACAGAATTTTCTTTAGAATCAGGTTTGAACACTGTCTTAGCAGGTTCCAGAGCCATACATCCAAAAATGTGAGGTGGAAATTTGAGTGCATTTCATCTTGTGTTTTGAAATAGGAAAAGACTCTGTGCGAAAAATAGAATGTGAATATATGCTATGATGTCCCTGAAAGACTGAGCTACAGATCATTTTACTTCTGATGTTTTATCTGCTGGAAGTGGTTAACAAGTATCATTCAATAAGCCCAATTACACTGATATTTAAAGAGTAATTTGCAGCCTGCATGGTTTTTATGAGATGTAAGGTTCATGGTGAGAAGAGTTTCTGTAGTTCTCCTCTGCAAATGCAATTCATGTAGATCAAATAAGGATTGATTCTCTAACTATTTAAAGGTAAATGTAGCGTGTAACACTTTATTAACTGAATGAAGACAGGGAGAGACATCTTTTGGAATTTGATTTTGTAATGAGTAGATAGATTTTTTCATTATTATCTTTGCAATTTTAAGTGGTGTTGAAATTTATAATTGCGTTACTCTCACTTTTACATGAAGCTTGTTTGAATAAAAATATTATTTAAGAAAAAACTAGCTAATGTCAGGATATCAATCAGTCATTAGATGCTGTAGTCTGCATACTCCTTCTGTCTATAGTAATTCTGTTTAAGCCTTTATTGTTATAATACCCAAGAGAGTTATTTTTAATGATCTAAACATTTGCTGTTTAGATAGATTTTTTCTTTTTTTTTTCCCCCAAGTTGTTTAAGGCCTTGATCTAAGGAAGAATGCAGTTCTATAAATATCAGTTGGGTTATTTGTGTATTTTTAAAAGGTACATGCTTCAGTGTTTACTTGAAGGGGAGATTTTGCCATGTTCTTTTATACATTAGAAGTGTACCAAAACAATTACTATTTAAAATGGGTTGAATTCATAAAAATGAGACCTTTCTGATTGTGTCCAGATAACTTTTCAAGACACAGTCTCGTACAACAAGAAGAGATCTGTGCTTTGAAGGGAACAGTTGCGCAACTCAATAAAGAGAAGGCATCTTTGCAAGGCTGTGTGGAAGAAGGAAGAAAAACGATTGCTACTTTTGAGGAAAGCCTGGCAACTAAAGTATGTTCTAACATGTAAACAGTCACAAAAAGTAAATGGGTAAAGGATCTGTTGAGTCATTACACTTACTCTGTTATCTACAACAGTGCTCAGTGCTGACCTAGCTCTGCTCCAGACAGCAATAAAACTTATGTTGACTTCAACAGCAGTAGGTTTGAGCAGTGTCATCTCATATTTGGTGTTTTGTATGCTTTATGCTTATGAACAGAAGAGACTTTGAGTACTTTTTTCTGAAGTGAAGAAGAATAAATTAGCCAATAAATATTTTGTCATAAAATTTAGCCTAAATCCTTTCTTGGGGTCCACCGATGTTAAATATGCAGGGTGCTAAATAATATTGCCTTTTTTGTCATTGAAGAAGCACCTGAATTATATTATTTTCACCTTAAGGTATATTGCACAGTGTGATTTCAAACTATGTAATGAAGCTGCTTAGGTCTTAGTTCTGAAACATTACTTTTCACTTCAGCTGAAGTCACCGGGATATTGATTTAGGACAAAATAAAGAAGGTAATCTTTAACTGTTTTAAGGAATTTGCATTGATTTTTACCAAAATCTTTAAGAAAAGATATGGCAGGACAGGCTAAAATCATCTTGCCATAAGCACTGGCTTTGTATTTTTAGAGCTGTAAATTGTGAAATGATGTCCATTGTAGACAAGAGATGGCTGTCTCTCACCTCTCTTGTGTCTTCAGTGGAAGACATTTCCTTAGCCTATCTGTGCTTCTTTTAATATCTGTATCCAAAGACAAGGGAGTAAGTAATATACTTTGCGATGGAATTCTTGTTTTATCATTTGCAAACTACCAGAGTTTGGTAGTTTATTCACTGTAGAAAAGTTGTGATAACATATCCAACAGGCAGAAGACATTCTCTAGTTTTGGGAGTGTGAGCCAAATGCTACCTTTACAACCACAAAGGATTAAAAAATTTAATTAAGACCATTATACTCTGCAGAAGGTAATATTTGTTCCTTTATTTGCCAAACTAGATTATTGGAATTTTCAGCTCTAAACAGTACATGATGAAACTTTGAAAACCACAGTCCATTTTGCACCAGTTAAATTAATCAGCTAGCTGAATAAAAGGAAATATAAATAATCTTATTTTATATTTTTTCCATTTTATACTGAGGAGTGGCAAGAGGTTTATTTTAATTTTGTATTTCTTTTCAAGGAGAAAATAATTACAGATTTCAAGATTCTGATTTCTGAGTTGGAGCGTTCCATAAAGTAAGGATGAACTGTAAGACCATTATCAAATTTTGAATAACTTACAACATTAACTCAAAAACTGAATCATAGGATGTGCTAATGTATAAATATTTTTTACTTGTTAAAAATTAAAATGTTACAGCTCTGTTTCATGATTTGCAAATTTAACCAATGGAAGAGCTATCATTTGTATTAGGTTGGGCAGTATTGTCATACCTGAAGGATTTTTTTACTTATTGCATAGGAAATCTTCTGAAGCGCTCTGTATCTGTGAGAAAGATATCACCACTTTGGATCAACAGCTACAAGAAACCACCAAAGAACTTGTGCAGGCTAACAAGAACAGAGAATCATTAGCTCAGGAGAAGGACAGGTTACAAGAGCATCTTTCTAATATTAAGCAAGAAAATCAGGTACATTTGTACAGAGAACACTTGACTAAAAAGGAAAATGGTGTATTTTTAAAGTAGTGCATAGAATTGCTGGGCCCTCATCAGAAGTAAATCTGCAAACTAGTTTTTAAGCTCATTTTTCAAACTGTGATTTTCCCTTTATCGCTCAGCTCACTTGTATAATGAGGACCAGCTGTTCTTATGTGATGGTTTGGATGTTTATCTGTGGAACAGCTATTTAATGCTTTTGTTGATCTTCAAGTAAAACCAATGTGGCAGTTATAACTATTGCTTATAAGGAAAAGTACTATAAAGAAGGCAGCAAGTATTTCTTATACTGTGCTGTCACTGGCCTAGAGTATTTAAAAGCTTTTGAATTTGACTTGCTAATAATTGAACACAGTATGCATTCTAATAAAGTTCAAAACTTTGGCAATAGTATTGTATTTATGTTCCTTTAAAGTGGCTTTTGGATAAAAGATGCTGGAAATATTTGGTTATTTTACAACATTACATTATCTACTGTGTTACTTATCTGAGTGCAGTTCCTAATGAAAGTAGTTAAAATACTTAAAGTGTCACCTCACGCACACACAATGCTTATGCATCAGTATGTTTTCCAAGCAGCTAGAAACTAAGCTTAAATATTTGTAGTAATTTCATCACTATGTAATGTTCAGGTTTTTCTTCTTTTTCTTCAACTTCTTGCCTTCATTTAGGTTTTCTGATACTTTTTTTGGTCTTTCTTCTCTGCACATACTCTACTGCTTAGGATGTCTGTGAAAATACTTCCTGCTCTTTCTCTTTCCTCTAGAAGCACTACCCAGTTTTGAAGGAGCAAATTAACTTTACCTGATGTTAGGTGTATAAAAGTTTTAAGTTATTAAGACTCCCTTTTAAGTGAAGAAAAGTCCTATAGAAGGAGTTTTGTCCCATCCCATCGGTTTTTAAAGTGATTCATTTTACCTGTCTGTCTCCCTTCATTATAGAGGAAGCGTAGCTGACTAGATCAGGTGGCTAATTCTGCACTGCAAAAATTAGGTGAGACAGGTCTCATTCTAAATAACTATTCTCTCGCACATACTAGTAATTTCTCTTTGGTGCTTCTTTGAGTATCCTAGAAATGTCAAAGTTCATAGTAGCTTTTACCACCAAAGGTACTCCAGGGAATCACTGTTCTTTACTTTCTCTCCGAATCACAGTTGATACCGATGAGGTCAGCTGGTACAAAACACAGCCTCCCGTTGCTTTTGTCTACTTTTGACAGCTTTGTGGTTTTCTTTGTAATGCCTGGATGCTTTTAGAAGCAGTTAGAAACCAAAGTCTTAGCCTCACAGGATCAACTACTTTTTAATAGGCTTGTCTCTATAATATGTATTGGTTCCTGTAGATTCTTCCATTAATTTAGGTGACACTTGAAGTATTTAAAACAGCATTCTCATTTCTTCACTGGGGCTTACTGGAAAAGTTCACAGATTTACAGAGTACCTTTCTCAAAAACTGACAGCTTTTTTGCAGCAGGA